CAGTTTCGATTNAAAATTTACTTTTTATTGTTAAAAGTTTCATGTACTTCATTAGTCAAGTGTCTATTTTTGAACCTGGGTAACCGTTACCAAAATTCAATTAATAAATCTCAGCCTTGCCAAAGTTTGAAGGGTAACGGTACACAGATGACAGTTTCGATTTGTGTTATCCATTTGAATTTTAACGTAATCTTGCACTTTATAGGTTAACATTTACGAACGGTAGCAGTAGAAAATAAACTTGATTTTCGTAAAAAAAGTGTCATATGTTGTGATTCAATAGACATTTAAAAAATTTATTAAAAATATTCGCATTACTGAACCTTTAGATTTTTTAGTTTAAAGAGTTTCTATTCAGATCACTCTTTAAAATGGTGCCATAAACTTTGCTTGCATATATAAATTATTATAAAATCAGTCGGAAATAAGCTTGTTTTCTGTGGGTGAAAAATTTCCTAATACGCAATGGACACTAAATTTAATAAACTTGGATTTTTCACCTCCAGTTCACCATCCTTTCTTTTTCTTAAAAATTTATATTTATTAATAAAAGAAAATCATTTTGTTTATGAAACATATATATTCTATAAAAACATTTCTTTGATATTTGAGTCTTAAAGAAATGAACGATTGCATGGATTTGGAAAATAACTCAACGGTATTTAAAACTATATTTAGGAATGCAAATGTGAAAAAAATAAGTATAAATAAATTAGAAGTAATTTAACTCGTTAATGATGTAAGACGAGAAAAATATTCAAAATGTCTATTTTGATAAAAAAATTAAATTATATCTCAATTTTTTTTTATTTATAGCTGAATTGTGATTGACTTACAGCTGAACTATATTGTTTAGCCATCGACTTTCAGAAATTTAAAAAAAAAAAAAAATCTATGTTTTTTTTTTAAGTAGTTATGAATTGAATTTTGTTTAATTGAATATAGATATAATTATGACTTTGAAAAGGGTTTTTTTCCATATGAAATTGCAAATCAAATTCTGTTAAGCAATTGCAGTGAAACTGTTCGATAATTTTATTTTTAAATTTGTTTGATTATCTAAATTATTTTATTCCACTCAAATTTATTGTTAAAACTATTTTTTAAAAAAATTTTTCTTTTGTAAATCCTATTATGTGAATTGATCCATAAACATCAGAAGTTGTTAAGTGGCATATTCTTTATAAGTTAATCTGCAAAACATTTTATTTCATATTTTTTTTCTTTCTCTATCTAATAAAACCTTTTTGTGCACAAAAACTATCCCATTTTAAGAGAATCGTCCACCAGCATTAATATAAAAAATTTTGATGCAGAAATAAAAATATCCATACTTTGTAAAGTTTCATTTTATTAAGAGTATATAATTATTTGTAAAGTATATTTCCTAAAATAACATGTCTGGTCCCGCAGTGGACTGATCGTTACGACACGGTTCCCAGCAGATCACCGAAGTCAAGCATCACTGGCTACGGTCAGTGTGTGGATGGGTGACCACTTGGATCAGTCTGCGTAGGGACCGAGGGTGTGCGGTATTGGTCCTCGTTAAACTGTTCTACCGTAANTTAATAAAAGAAAATCATTTTGTTTATGAAACATATATATTCTATAAAAACATTTCTTTGATATTTGAGTCTTAAAGAAATGAACGATTGCATGGATTTGGAAAATAACTCAACGGTATTTAAAACTATGCTTAGGAATGCAAATGTGAAAAAAATAAGTATAAATAAATTAGAAGTAATTTAACTCGTTAATGATGTAAGACGAGAAAAATATTCAAAATTTCAATTTTGATAAAAAAATTAAATTATATCTCGATTTTTTTTTTATTTACAGCTGAATTGTGATTGGCTTACAGCTGAACTATATTGTTTAGCCTTCGACTTTCAGAAATTTAAAAAAAAAATCTATGTTTTTTTTTAAGTAGTTATGAATTGAATTTTGTTTAATTGAATATAGATATAATTATGACTTTGAAAAGGGTTTTTTTCCATATGAAATTTAAAATCAAATTCTGTTAAGCAATTGCAGTGAAACTGTTCGATAATTTTATTTTTAAATTTGTTTGATTATCTAAATTATTTTATTCCACTCAAATTTATTGTTAAAACTATTTTTTAAAAAAAAATTCTTTTGTAAATCCCATTAGGTGAATTGATCCATAAACATCAGAAGTTGTAGAGCGGCATATTCTTTATAAATTAATCTGCAAAACATTTTATTTCATATTTCTCTTCTTTCTCCATTTAAAAAAACCTTTTTGTGCTAAAAAACTATCCCATTTTAAAAGAATCATCCACCACCATTATAAAAAATTTTGATGAAGAAATAAAAATATCCATATTTTGTAAAGTTTTATTTTATCAAGAGTATATAATTATTTGTAAAGTATATTTCCTAAAATTATATGTCTGGTCCCGCAGTAGACTAAGACACGGTTCCCAGCAGATCACCGAAGTCAAGCATCACTGGCTACGGTCAGTGTGCCTTGGATCAGTCTGCGTAGGGACCGAGGGTGTGCGGTATTGGTCCTCGTTAAACTGTGCTACCGTAAAGTGCTCGACTTCGCGCGCAGGTCGTCGGGCTACCGAAGCGGGGGTGCCATCCCCTCCGCAGAGGATCAAAATTGTGATGGCATGTCTTCGGATCATCCTCCGGGATGTTTCCCAGACCGTCGCCAATAGCCCATTGTGCAGCTCTAGTGCGACGTAAATTAACAGCAACAACAACAAAATTACATGTCTAGCAGAGCAAAACTATCACACTGAAATATTCGGTTAATATTCTCAAATTATTAATTCAATTTCCAAAATTACAATTCATTTCAGTTCTGTAAAAAGCGTTTAAAAAACTGTAAATAACACTGCACCCGTTGATGTTAAAACTTTATACATTTTATCACTTAATTTCTGCAAGTTCCTCTTTCTCTATTGGAAATATTTAGTGGTTTTTAAGCATTGAAATTAATTCGTAAACTGCATTCGAAGAAAAAGCACAAAATCTACCATTTAAATTTGGGAAATATTATTTAATTTGTTGAAAAACTACAGTACAAAATAGAGGTTCAGCTTTTAATGTTTAAAAAAATTAAAAGAGAAAAATAAAACTCAACGGATGTGTTTGGAATAGTATTTTTTTGTATTCAAAGTTTAGTTTTAAAAATAATTATCAGATCATGCCATGAAAATAAAAACAAAAACTGTATATTTTGGAGAAATTTACTACAAAAATAGAGAAACTCTTCATAAGGTAAATTGCTTAAAAATTCATAAAATAACTACAAACTAACTTTTCTTATATTGAATTCTGTACAAGCTGCTGCTACTTTAAAAGAAAAAAATTCCGGAAAAAACTAAAAACTTGAAAAAAACCTTTACAAAACCTTAAAAGAGTTGGCACAAGCTTTCCTTCAGGCGAAAAAACCTCTTGACACTTTCGTTCAGGCAGAGAATACCTTTTTAAAACTGCGGCATTTATGGCAAAATATAAATAAATTCTATTTGATATATAGAATTTTTTTTTATAAAAGCTGTAGTTTTTATAAAGGTAAAATATCTGAAAAAAAGCTGCAGCTCTTAAAATTATTAAATTTTTTTAACAAAGCTGCTGTTATTTTCATCCTAGACCCAAGCGACATCTTTCACGAAGGTTTTTTTCTTCCTTAAGGAAATCTTATGCTAATTCTTTTAAGCTTTTTTAAATGTTTTGTGTAAGATTTTTAACTTTGTTTACCTTTCATCCGTATAATAGTTCGAATTAAAGGACCCTATTACCTCTCGAGTCTTTTATAGTGTGAAAAATTATTTTATATTTTTCATAGTGTTCTAAAAGCTTTATATCTTATTGCTTTGTTACCAAAACAACTGCATGTAGCTTTTAATTTAAATTTTTGCTTTGTTATCTACTTACTGCAATTACTAATGAGTATTAAAACAAAAAATAATTTTATGACAAACTACGTATATTAATTGATTAATAAAAACAAATATACTGGTTACAGTCGATAAATAAAAAGTGAGAGGCCATTACACATAAATTATGGCATTTGGACAAATGGAAACTTGTCTGATATGTAGTTGCTGGTGTGACCAAAAGGATTTACTAATTAGGTGTCTGTAGTTACCGTACAGAAAACAATGGTAAAAGTATGATAAGTAAGCAGTAGTCAATCTATTCATTCAGTATCAGAACGTATGACATCTAAAAAGGTTCAGAAAGTATAGAACGAGTTAGGACATAGAAAGAATTTGTGAAATTCATTGACAACTGGAAAATGTGTATGGAGATCACTACATGTCCCTTTCAAATGTTCAAAAGTGAAACAAAAGTGTTTTAAGGAAAGAAACACGTCACTAAGGAATGATAAGCAAAGTTGAGCAATACTATGATGTTGCAAAAATTAATGAAACCATCAAGAAGAGTAAAAATCATCGACAACTGAAAAGTGTGCAGGAACTTCTTGTTACTGTCAAGTGCTCAGAATTTGAACAAGTGCTTTTAGGGAAAAAGCATGTCGCAAGATAAGCAAAGCAAAGTTGAGCAAGCAAAGTTGATAAGCAAAGTTGAGCAAGATCAACATGTTGCGAAAGTGGATGAAGTCATCAAGAAAGACCAACTTGTAGCAGTAGTCATGGTACTTTTCACAAACGGAGCTCAAATGAGCAATGCGGGGAGAAGAGCAGTTTCAAATGTAAAATGAAGTCGAGGATTGCGTGCGCGATTTGTTTACGAAGCAACAAAAGATCTCTATCGCTGTATTTCACAATGAGACAAATATCTGAAAAGCTGTTGGTAATACTTTTGAGTTTTATTAAATAAATTACAGCCTAGTAATTCATTGATGGAGCGAGATTTTGCTGTCTGCTGTGCTGTATGTGTAACTTCGCACATACAGATAAAATTTTACTGATATAGCTCTAACAAAATGTTTCTGAAACAAAGGGTGACAGAAATCTGATCATGTAAGTGTTTGAAACATTTAGTCTATTAAAAACATGTCTCAGAAAAATAATTTTAATTACAGTTAAAGAACCGTTGTACCTTAATATTTACTATTGAATAATAAAAGCTTCTTCCTCACAACTTTGCGAGATGGTTGACCATTTTTGTCCATTCAAACATGTAGCTGAAAAAAAGATTGAAAATTATTAACTTTCTAAATCAAATTGGATGCATATTATTAAATAAACATTTCAATATGTTTACTTTCTACAATAAAATATTTTATTTTTATACAGCTGTAAGTTGATGTTGCTAAATATACTCAGATCTGCAAATCTTACTACGATGAAACTGTTTTTTTTTTCCTGAAATATGAGAACCTTTCCATACATATAATTCAAATGGTTTACTACAAACACGTAGAACGAAATGATGTGTTTCTTGCTTAATCCTGAGTGAGATCATACCATGGAGGTGTAAGTTTATTAATTATCAAGAACGGATATCATTAGTGAGTTTAATAAGATGCAAAGCTATCTATACTTTAAATATGATAAGCAGTGAAGGGAAAAAAGAGAGGCACTTTGCTGTCCTAATTTTGTGTTCATCTAAATTATTCAATTTATTTATTTTGTTATATACTGCTTCAAATATTTAATTAAAGTTAAAGCCGTAAAGAATAATTCTTATTTTAAGCTATATAATTTTTAAGCAGAAATGCACTACTTTTGTTGAAAATGACGAGTGTTTCATGATAGCAGCCTATCTGTATAGATATAAGAAATGAATGTCTGTTTGTCTATCTGTCTGTCTGAGGGCGTGTCCTTTATAGACCCCTGAACCATCCAACCGAAAGCGATGAGAATTGGCGTACAGATAGTTCGAATCACGAGGAAGGTCACTGTCGACACATTAGAACATTTTGCGACAAACCGTTCGAGCGGGATGAACGAAAAACGAAATGGGATTTTCTGATTGGTTAAGCATTGGCCATTGTTTTAAATTTAAATATCGACGATTCAATAAATCACACATCTTAAAGATAACATCAATGATATTTGTAGCTTATTGCTTTATTTGACCAAAAAGAGAGTTTGTTATAGAACGGGTCAACTATGCCACCAAATTTATATTTCTAGAGTTATTCGATACCACGTGTTTTTATTTAATATTAATTCTTTCAAAACGTGTTTCTACAAAATTAATTATTTAAAATCAATGGTAATTGAAATGAAAAAAAAAGAAAGATTCGTTTTGTATTTAAAGGCAAAATTAATGGGAGAGTGGTATGAATTCGTATAGGAGAAACATTTAAAAAAAAGAAATCGCTGCACTATTTGTGACGTCTATGCTGTTTAATTAATTTGCGTAATATATACATGTTGAAATTAAGGAAATAAGCTATGTACTAAAATGCATAAGCAATGGAGTAAATGTATTTATTCGTGTTGAATAAGCACAAAAACATAGCCATACTTTTATTGAAGACTACGATGCTTAATTAATGTTTGTAATATGTATTAACAGGGTTATTACGTTCGACTAAAAAAGCAAAATGTGGTAACTAATAATATTCAAAAAGTAATTAAAAGAAATTAAAATTAGTAGTTTTTTCCTGCATATTTTTTTCAAGTTACTATTGAAAGTTCATGCAAAGAATGCTTCTGTTTTAAATATGAATAATTTGAATTGCGAGACATAGTAGTTTGAATGATTTAAAAATTTTAAATAATTAAACTGAGCTGAATTTCTACCACTTTTCAAATTTTTAGCCGCCTGGTACATCCCTGCATTAATAGAAATAAAAAAAATAAAATAAGCTATGTGCTAAAAAGCAAAGTTAATGGAGAATGGTTAAAATTTAAAATTTATTTAGGGGTACCGTAGAAAATAGTCCAGCACAAATAATTAATTTTTTTGGTACTATGTATTTCAGTATAGTAAATGGTGTAGTTTTGATAAGAATTCTACAACGGGGTTTTCCCTTGTTTCAAAAATATTTTTCCAGTGGTAGCAAAGATTGTGTATTATCATTTTTTTTCTAATTAGAATTAAAATAACTGTTTTACACCACGACTTATAAATATTTTAACCTGCAAAATAAATTTCCGATGTTATTATGCTTTTATGTCTTCATCAAATTTTTAAGAAAATTTTAATTTTTAAAAAAAACTCGGATTTAGTTTGCTGTCACTGACAAATGTATTTCACACAAAACTCAAATGAAGGGTTATATCGTAAGTACCAAATATACTGATGTAGGTATAAAGTACTATATTGATAATTTTGCACCTCGAAAGGTATATGTACCGGAAAAAAATTATAGTGGTACATTTTGACTATCATGAGTTGACCGCGAGCGATAGCATCATGTCAAGTGATGCTAAATATAGTTAATCCTTAGTCTGTTGAGATGAACTACGAAATACGAGTTATTTTAGTTTAATAATGTAAGGTCATCGGAAAGGGTGATAAATAACAATACATATTTAAAAATTGAAATTATTTTAGCTTTATTAATTGAAGAACTTTGGGGAAGAACGAGGTAAGTGACATTTTCAGAGAGGCTGTAACCATAATACAAAAATGTGGCATCGAAATATTTGATTAAGTATTTATTATAAGGCAGAACTAATGATTCTTTGCCTTATTTTATTTACCACTGCCTAATTTGAAATAAAAATCATGCAAGCATACTAAAAGTTTATATGGATTAGTTTTTTTAAGATTTAAATAAAGTCAAAAACAATTATGTTACATTAAACATACACATATTGATACAACCACTTTATGTTATTTTATCTAATTCATTAACTTCCCTAAAAATATCACTATCCTGGTTTTTCCACTCGGCTATTCAATTGTGAATATGATTTCGTTGGGTTTCTCAGTACTGCTTTCTTTTCTTTCTTATTCTTTTCTTTCTTCTTTTTTATTTACCCTGAACGAAGAACGGGTATTCAGCTAGTATTCGGGAATTTTGCAAAAAATAAAGAAAAAAAACAAAATTATTAAAACTAAAGTATCAAAAATAATTAAAGTTAAAAACTTTATTAATATCATTCATTCGACCGAAGGAATTCGAAGTTGAAGGGCTTAATACTAATTTTGCTCAAACACTAATTCGTGACCTCTGATGTAAATGCATATTTCATTTCCATTATACTAAACATTTTAGCAAATATTTATTAAAATATATGATATCCTGTATTATATTAAGAAAAGTACAAATTTGGTTTAATCTAACATTATGTTGAATTAATAAAAAAGTATTTACGTAGTTCAAATAAACAATACTCACGAAAACACGGGGAAATGGTATTTGAAGGAGTCCATTTTCCAGAATCACTACAAGCAAAAAATTTAGGCTCATCAGGATCACGTGAAAAGCCTGGATTACATGCAGGTCTACAGAGCTTACCCATCAGCCAATCCATACAAACAGCCTTGCCATTTTCAGGATCATTGAGATCTTTACAGTGACCACCTGGTTTTAGGAGTAAAATAACCATTTGTTGTTTACCGTGTATTTAAGAAATAAATTCTTTGAGTCATATTTCATGAAAATTATTTTTTTACTAAAAAAAAAGCTTTATTTTATTTAGTAAAATAATCCCTATCGGGGAATTTTGCGTAAAATTTGGGACATCTTTTGCAACAAAAATTTAATTCAGTGAAAAAGAGACTCCTTAATGAAAAGAAAGTTTGTAAACAGTTAGCATAAAGTTAATCTCAGACGAATTTCTAACGCAGGCCACACACTGAGGAGGTAAAATGTAAATGAAAGACATGCGAGAGGCAGATTTCCATACTTTTGCATTAGCATGCGCACATCAGCTCTGCGCATCCTAATGTAAAAGTATAGGAATTCGTTAACTACATGCACATTTCTTACCGCTTGCCTCCTCAGTGAGTGGACTGCTTTACTTTGAGAAAGAGATTTTACTCTATCAGATGATTGAAGTAAATCTAGATTATGGTATTGTTCTAAAAACTAAAGGCTGCTCCGAATCATTAAATTACAAAAACATAAAAATTTTAATTTTAAATAACTTTAAAAAAAATGTTTTCAGATTTATTTGATCCTAATTGAGCTTTATCAAAAGAAAGTAGGAAGGTGGAAAAAATAAGTTTATTTAAAATTGAAGCTGAGAGGTAATACTTAACAATCAGGTTGTGAATTTCACTCCAGTTCAACAGATAGACAACCTCTTTTTTTATAACTTACTCTGATCGAGTTCAATTAGGTTTCCTCAGAGATCGATAAAAAATAAAATTCTTTCATTTACGTATTAATATGAACTATGGGACCCTTAATGCGATAATTTTTTACAAACTTTTTAAAAGCTATATTAAGTGTCGTGATTGCAACATACGTGGTTCATTAACTTCTTGGGAATATAATATTTTTTAATGGTAAACGAAAGGTATACTTACGGGTAATATTAATTTGAAATGTACATGTTGCACTGTTTCCGGCAGCATCTTTAGCTGTGTATTCAACAAAATGAACTCCAGCTTTGAGGGTAGAATTCGGTTCCTGAAATATTTTTTCAGACGTACACGTGTATGTAATGTGTCTATTTTTCAAACTTTAATTTAACTGAAACAATATTTTTATCAACAAAAGCAATAAATGATTGAACAATTTAAATATTTATATATCTTATTACGTAAAACACTAATACGTATGCAGATCAGTGATTCCCTAATGGTGTTCTGCGGAACCCTAGGGCTCCAGGAAGATTTAAAGGGGTTCTGCGAGTTAGTAATTTTTGTAATTGGTGACGAGCTTTAAAACCTCAGATTTATTTAGATCCAACCTAATTCATAATTTATTTGATCTTTTGGTAGTCTTTATGAAACTATTCCTAAAGACTAAAAATGCCAAAAGAATAGGAGAGGCATTTGTTATAAATATAACAATTATAATAACAAGATATTGAACAAATTAAGAGAAGAACGAGCATTAATAAAATATTGCATAAGTATTTCCTATTACACTTTTCAAATAAAAAATAACATAATTAATGTCTTTAATAAAGAAATATGTTTCCCCTATAACCATTTTCAGCGTTTATAGCAGTTCTTTTAAGTTTTCATTTCAAAGTCAACCATAGTTTGTCGTTTCTTTATTTATTTTAAATCTTTATACATGTTACAGTAAATGACCGAAATCAAGAAAATGTCGACTTTCACCGGTAAATGTCAACAATCACATAGTTGCTTTGGTGAATGTTCGAAATATTTGTTATATCCGTTTTGATATTAATTTATTCGTTGATATTATGTTTATTCGATATTTTAATATCTGCTGAGGCTAGATTAGGAGAAACATCAGTGTTCGGAGTACCGGTTAAATGCATATTGGGCAGTGGCACTTTGACCTTAAACATTGATTAACGCCATACCGGGCAGTGGCACTGAATCTTGGGAAAACATTGATGTAGGGCATACTGGGCATTTAACTAGACCTAGTATATATTTTGGACATTTGCCAAAGCGACTAAGCGATTGTCAACATTCACCGGTGGAAGTCAACAACTACCAGTTTCGATCATTCACTGGAACATATACACCAAAAAAAATTGATAACAAGACTAGATATTGCATAAGGACTGCTAATTCAAATGTCGAAGATAATACATAATTGAAGATTATTAATAATAAAACAACTAAAACTCTTTACAGCTCTAATTAAATATTTAACATTAGCCTTTTATGCGTTATAACGTTAACAATTACATAATAAACTTTATTTATAAAGTCGGGGTTCAGCCGAAATTATTATAGGGTTAATTATTAATGTTCCTGTAGTCGAAAAAATTTGGAACCACTGACGAGGAACTGAAAACTGAAGCATCAAGTGAGAGAGTGATCATAAGCATAAGAACTAAAGCGTTCAGTACGCAAAATAAAAAAGTAAACACTCTTAATAATGTTTGAGAAATGATCGGATTTTTACGTACTAGAACTCAAACTCAATAATTCAAGGACCTAACCTTATATACGCAAATTATTTATTTAAATATTATGAAACCAGACACAAAAAAGTATTTCCTTTTAACAAACATACCTTTTTTAATAGTTTACAAGGTGATAAAAGCGGGTTGTAGCTTATCCTACTCTAATCAAATTACTTTGCTTTGCAGGATTAGCTGGATATAGGTTAAATCATAACACACTCATTTGAATTCGATGATGTATAAATTATATTTCAATAAAGATAACAAACTTCTATAATATATGTTTAAACAGACGCATTTGAAATTGAAACTGATTGGGAATGCAAGCAAAAAATAGTTACCAAGTTCTTTACAACTGACTGAATGGCAACATTGTCAGTTGCAACGGGCTCATCCCAGGTCACAAGGACCCCTTGATAGCCGACGTCACTCACATTAAAAGATTCGGGGCACATAACAAACATTGGAGGTTCTTTGTCTAGAAATTTTTACAAAATATAAACAATATAAGCAATGTTTAAAAGAATAAAAAATGTAGGGAATAAAAATGTAAGGAAATAAAAGAAATAAATCATAGGATTATCATAGAAAATAAAAGATTTCTGTACATGTTAGTACAAGAAATAAAAATGCGTTTCCTAAACAATGAAATAAGTTAAATAACAGAAGCTTATTCTAAAAAGCTAAACAAAATAAGCACGTGATTTCCAACAGCTTTCAAAATACTATTCCGTTGACGTGGTACCGATTCACATACCATCCACGTTGATCATTGTGGTTGTAAAAAATAATTGAAGAACGTGCAATAAACTCTCTCTGAAACAGAATCGTCTAAAATTTAATTCACAACGATGGGTAATGCTAAACTTTTTTAATGCGCAAAACTTTTCTATTTCAAACATTTCTCTTGAAGGGAGTAATTGAAACGATTTTTAGGATGGGTTGTTAAAATTGTTCCTTATAGTCGAGGTTTAAATTTCGGGACTATAGCGCAAATGATTCTGAACGGACAGAGAAAAGAACACTGGATTTAAAGTCTGCAGTTATCTTCGAAAGCAGTTAATTGCATAAAGAAAGTTAATCCTATTAACAAAGAAAAAAAAGTTGATAATTTTGAAATGTGGCTGAATCGTTCGAATCCAGAATAACATAGTAAAAATATCCACCTATTGGTAGTAATAATACTTTATTTAAGTCACACTAGAGCTGCACAATAGATTGTTGGCGACGGTCTGGGAAGCATCTCCAATGATGATCAAAATACATGCTATCACAATCTTGATCCTCTGCATAGGGGATGACTCCCCCGATTTGGTAGCCCGACAACCTACATGCGAAGTCGAGCACTTTACGGCAGAACAGTTTATGGAGAGTACACACTATCATTCTCAGTACACACTATCAGTACGCACTATCATTCTCAAACTGACCAAGGTGGTCAGTAACAAGGTCACTTAACTCTGACCGTTATGTTTGACTTCGGTGATCTATTGGGAACCGTGTATTATGATCAGTCAACTGGAGGGCAATTTTGGATGGTTGAGTTGGTTTTGAAACGTTCTATGACGGGCTATTCAATTACATAATTACGTCGTTTTCATAGTACATCTTGGAAAAATTTGCAGACTCTTACCAAATAGTTCTGATTTTCATCAAACATTTAAACTCAAGTTCCTTTCATTTCGAATTACTTTCATAATTTATAGCCGGAGTAATTCCGAAAAGCGTCTGAGGTTCACTAAAAAAGTTGAGCTTTTGTAAAGCGTTTAATTTTAGGACTGAAATAAATGTTTATAAATCATAATCATAACGCCAGAAATATTTTTTTAAATATCTCACCTAAAACATTAATTGTCATGATGCACTGTGAAGTTGCGTTGAAGTCAGCATTTCTTACAGTAAATAATATACTTGTTTTACCACTTGGGAAAGGAATGGGTTGCTCTAATCTTATCCAATCGGGATAAATTTCAACATCTTCCATGTTTGTGATTGGTCGAGGAATAGAGATATTGGAAGAGTTTTCATTCAAATTAAGTTCTACCGTTATGTCATCTGGACAAGAAATTGTTGGAGGTATATAGACTGCAATGAAATAAAATTTTGATGAATGGGAGGTAAACAATGTGAAGAATACCAATATGAAGCAAGAAAAACTTCTCACTATAAAATTAGAACACTAGAAAAACTAGTGAAACTTTTTGTCAAGCAAATACATGTGTCTTATGAGTTCAAATGAAAAGTGGGAAACACGAGGTCAAGCAGAATATCTAGCATAAAATATGATTTGAAAATTCTAAATTTTTAGATATGTTTATGTTATGCTACAATTTTTAAGCACTGTTCATTGTAATTTCATATTCTTAAAATGATGCTTTATAATTTTTCTGAACAGAAATTTATATATCAAGTACCCCATCCTGATAGAATGGGTTGGTAAGGAAAAGTGATTATAAACTAGTGAGAAAGAGTAACTTTTTATGTTGTTGTAAATGAAGAAAGATTAATTTAAAAGGTTTAAATCTTCAAGCCGAACTTTGACGGCAATACGGGTAACATATTACCAATGTTAAAATTGGAAGTATATTTATTTTAAGCAATGTTTAAATTAAATAAACATTTTCTTCTCTTTTCTGGATAATTCTCTGAAAATATGACACTTTGTAGAAGAAAATTTAAATTTAAAATCTTCAGAACTGCTTTTTTATTTGCAAAAAATTGATTTTCTAATTTTAATTAATACCTCAGAGAAAGCAGTGTTGTTTAACATAATCCAGTTTTATATTATTTCCTGACATTTAAGTGCTGGGAAAACGACAGTCAGGATAATAAAATTTTATAATTTTACAGTTTATACTTTTAGACCTGATACTTTTAATTTGTGTTATTAACAAGAAAGCTTTCTAAAAGAACTCAGACTGAAAAACATAGTGTTATAGATGATTTAGAGAGAAAACCAATTTGCTTTTAAATTTTTTTTCAAACAGATTTTCCTCTGAAACTATCTTTTCTGTTTCTAATAGAAGATTTATTTTAACGAAATGGCTAATAAATCATATATTAAAACAAAAATAATTAACGATCATTTTGAGAGAAGGGAAACTACGTGACCGGGACATATTTTATTGTGAGATATAAATTATATACTGAAAATTTATTTTTACGAAATTTTTCGGAAATTATGACATGCCTGGAAACTGACAATTAAAGACTCAACATATATTTTTAAATATATATAATTGTTAAAACCAGTGTAAATCATTCTAAAGAACTAACAATAATGGTATTAATAAAACTTTTTCCCGGTTCTCAAAGTACGGGGGATAGGGGGCATCCGCAATCTGGTAAATATTGTCCCTAAAGTTTGGTTCAGAGAAGGGGACAAAAGTTTGGACTCTTATGTAAATTTTTTTTTGCGTGTTTCGCCATATCTAAAGACATTTTTAAGCAGATCAAACATTTTTTGCTCACAATCATAAAATTTGCTTATTTAAAAATAATTTCAGGCAAAATAATATTTTTTGGGGTCGTTATTGCTTTTATTATTGTATATAATAATAGTCTTTCGAATTGTAAGATACGCAAATTTTTACACCATTTTAAAAAATTTAATTTCATGTGACAAAATAGAAATTTGGAATGAAATGGGTGGAATAGTTCTTAAAAAATCGAAATACGACTTTTTTTTAAAAAAATTCGATTACATTATATAGAGTTGCAAGGTTAATAAACTTACCTCGTTTATAAAACCGTCAGAGGTTTCACAACAGGAACAATAATTACATGCACACCTCTGCTCAAGAAATACAAACTAATATATGGATTCCGAAGTCATCACTATCCCTTTGTTGCCTCTAATAATGTTTTTGTCTAAATTTTCCAGGAATAGAATCTATTGCATTAAGACATTACTATATCCTTGCAGGGTGACACTATACAATCGAAAAACTAATACGTTCGTAATATTTGGATACGTAAATGAGAAATACTAGAACTTTTTAAATTAGTTTTGCTTTTGTGACTGAATTAAACGTTACTGAAATAGTGTACTTTTCTTATAAATTTAGAGGCCCTAACTCCAACTTTTCTTACATACTTTTTTTTTTCTTTAGCTTTTCTAAATTCATCTAAAAAATATACTTTGTTATGACATCAAAATCTCTAAACGGACACGGCATGACATATTGACAAGTTCGAACCTTTATTTGGTATTTATTTTTTTCCTCAGTCAAATTTGCTCTGAGATGTTGATTTCTATGTTATATGAGAACACTGCGAAAAAACAGTTTAGTTAAATCTAACAGAATATGCTAAATTTACTGTGTGACTCTTTGGGGGCATCGAAAAGCTCGGTAATTTTATTGAAGTTTTAGTCATAATTTTGGCGAAATTAACAATAAAATATGATTTTATAAAGTGTGATAAAATTTTGTAATTTTGCCATGATACCTAGAGAATGACATAAAAACCATTTATCCGGTAAAATTTACTTTTTAGTATTACTAAATGTGTGGTAATCAGAACTACAATTTTAAAAACCAGAGTTTCCGGAAAAATCTTTATCGTATAAACAGTAAAATTACCAAATGAATGGTTTAAACAACGTATATTTTAGTTTTACGAGTATTAACCAGAATTAAGTTGTTTTTCTTTTTTTTTTTAGCACAAATGTCATTATCATGCAGTTAGGTCATTTTAAGAGAATTTTTTTCTCCGTGTAGTGTAGTGTTTTGCTAAATGATATGCAAATGATCTAATATTCGAGTGTAAAATTTTATTTCTATAAAGTTTACTCGTGTCTGTGTTACAGACATTTAATAGCGTTGATATTAGGGTTAGAGCAATACAAAATTACTGCGTGAAATCTCTTTTATTATTGGTCATTTTAATCCTTTCAGTATTGGATGATGGAGGAATAAGAGCTTCAATAGGCCAGTAGACTCCCAGTTTGTAAGCATTAAATGTACTAATAAAAGATGTAATACAAAAGTACCGTCCTTGTGATCTTGGGCCACTAGAGCCAGAAAGTCTATAATTTTATATATGATACCGTGGGCCGTGAAGGGAGACTGGGCGTGACCATGTATCATGGTTCTGACAGGTGTAAATCACAAGAACGTTACAATTTCTACAAGTTTATTTCAAGTTGAGCCAAGTAACTTTGAAATTGAGCTGAATTGTATTATTAAGTTTTATATTTCAAGTTGAATATGCTTTAATACATTTTTTTTAAATCTTGTGTCACAAATCTTTTTTATTTCTGCTTACCGGGTCTGCAAGAAGGCGGGTCATCAATCCAGGTTAAATTATAGCTACATTTAATCATGCTCTTTCCTCCAAACATTTCATAGCCAGGTTTGCAGGTGAAATAACATTGTTGCTGAACTGGAATGAAATCCTCTTTGCATGTAGGGGGATACACATCTCCATTATCAGGAATCATCAAGGATGGGCAATGGGATGCTATAAATAGTAATTAGGTAATTTAAGAAAAATTATCTATCGTAGAATTCAACAACTTGCATTAAATTATAGTTTTTTTTTCTTTTTTTGCTAAAAGCATGAAAAATTAAGAATGTAGTTGATTACAAATTTTTCCTTAAACGCAGCCTTAAGGCGGTTAACATCTAATTATAACAGTTCTGACAAAAGTGAATTTTAAATAAAATCGGTATCTTTACACCAATGTTTTCATATTAACATCAACGCAATTAAAAATTTAAAAAAAATATCGAAACCTGCTGAACCGCTTATGAAGAAACCACGTTGAAAAAATATCAACACGAGCTTGGTTGTCTTGAAGATGTTTTAATTACCACAGTTAAACTTCTTTCTGTTTCCTCCGGCAATAAAACATGTTTCGACGTCACTCGTTACTTATTCTTCCGCTTTTGATAACGTGTTTTCCTCACTCAAATGGAATGTGTTCGTTGATTTTTTGATTCCTTCTCAATACAGTAAATGCGGTAATAACGGAATTAATAAATGCGGTGCATCTTGTATTAATATATTAATTTCGAGATCTTTAAAATAGTGTCCTGATTTTAAACTAAGACGCCTTTCATACTTTTTTACACATAGTAGGAGCAGCGTTAAATTTTTTTAATCCCATCATGCTAAAATTATATACACTTTATGCTGTCAAATATAAGAGAATTAATGTGTTTTTGAATTGCGTAAAAAATGAATAAAAAAAATCTAACGAACAGATTTATGACATTGTTATTGTATCGGTTAAGAGAATTATTTAGCAACAAGTACCCCTTTCACCACATGTGCTGCGAATACTTGCCGTGTACGTTAGGATAGTTTTATCGCCAAATCGCCATATAACTGCTGTGCACTAAAGCTGCAAAGTACCGCAGAAATATTTTATAACCAGCTTTAAACAGCAGACACAATTCAGAGCTTACGACTATCAATGCCCAACTCCTTCCTTGAAATTTTGAGCCCAACCAGGAAGACAAGGGAACTCGTGAATCGAGCATAGAGACAAACTAGTCTTCGTGAAGGGCTTTTTAAATGAATTAACCCTTATTTATTTTACAAGAGGAAGAAAACCACGAAAACCTTCCCAGTTGGCTCGACGGCAAGGGGATTCTAACCCATGATCCGTCAACCACCAAGGATATTCTACATCAGCAATGTGGTTGATGCTGGTAGGAAACAGTATTCACATTAAACAGTCACCCCTGGGATTCGAACCTGGTTTACCTCATTGGAATGTGAACTCTCTATCCCCTGAGCTACCGTGGCTCTACTACAGAAATAAAAAAAGAGTCTCGTAACGCAAAAACAGATAAAATGTTTCCAATAATTCTCTAGCATCGAACACAGTAAGATACGCTAACTGTTTTGGTAACCGAATCTGTGAATTTCTTGTCAACACAAGTGAATGAAATAATGCGTAATAAGAAATTAATTATGAATGGCTGTTAATAAAGACTGTTGTAACTAGTATTAATAAAGTCAAATACCAATAGAGTGCGAAAACATTCTGCGATAGTTAAACAGGTTGGCGATACATAGAAATGAAATTTAAATCGTACGACAAAGTATAATTTCCAGTCTCATTACGTTAGGCATCGCAATCTTACCTACACATTGAGGTGCAGTTGCATTCCAGCTGCCATCTTCTAAGCATTTTATCACTTCATAGGAATCGTTGATTTTAAATCCTTCTCGACATTTGACCATGCAAATCGTACCATAAGGATAATGAAGTGGATTCTGTGAGGAATAATCTTGAGACTTTGAAATAATTTTTGTTTCATTATCAACTTCGCAATGCAATGATGAGTGATGCGGAACAGCAACTGAAAGACATCGGGCACCTGAAAAATCGAAATAAAGAGAATGAAGATCATATATGCCATGTAATATCTTCGTATAAATTAAAACATGAGATGTTTAGAGTTTAATAACTTAAGTAGTAGTAGTTGTAGTAGTTAATAAATGTCGCACTAGACCTGCACAATGGGCTATTGGTGACGGTCTGGGAAACATCCCTGAGGATGATCCGAAGACAAGCCATCACAATTTTGATCCTTTGCAGAGGGGATGACACCCCTGCTTCGGTAGCCCAACGACCTGCACGCGAAGTCGAGCACTTTGCGGTAGAACAGTTTAACGAGGCCCAATACCGCACACCCTCGGTCACCCACCAGCACACTGACCGCAGCCAGTGATGCTTGACTTCGGTGATCTGGTGGGAACCGTGTTTTAACGATCAGTCCACTGCGGGACTTAATAACTTAAGATGAAGAGGGTAGAAAGAAAAAAAATTGGTTTATGAGTTGAAATCATTTTAATTTCTATGAAAAATATATACGGTTTTCCTCTCCATGTAACGCAAGTGCGAATTAGTTCCATCTACAAAAAAAAACCTTCAAGAAGACAAATTTCTGCTACTACTTTATATATATATAGGATTCTCCCTTCCCGGCCCATGCAATTCTTGACCCAAGATTCTACGGACATGATCTCGATTTGGTACTCTCGTATTAGTTAGTCTGTATACGTACTATGTAGTGTTAGCATTGTGTTAGAGCATGCGAGTTTGGGGATCGGTTCTTGAGCTATAGATTCTTAAGGGTTGGTTATAATAAAAAGTTGTAAAAATGGACATAAAAATAAGTCTTCAAAACAGTTTAGGGGAGGTACTGCAGACTGATGTTCAGAAAAACACTACTATGCTACTTGTTGATTTAAGAAAGCAAAAAATAAATCGGAATCATTCTTTCAAAAACAGTGTGGATTACAGTTGTTGTGCGAGTGAATACTTGTTTACGACAGTCAACATTTTTCAGGCAAATCAAATCGTTTCCTTTTCATGTTCGTTTAGACCACTGGTTCACGATTTTTTTTGTCTCTTAGACCCCTTGCCTTGTTTTTCGGTTTTGGGTAGACCCCCTGCTTACCTGACACTGCTTATTTTTTGTTGTAAATTCATTAACTTCAAATGTATTTTTGACAGCTGGCATAGTGCTACTCACTGTGAAAGATTTAAATTTCTAACTGTAGTGAAGTGTAGTGTGAAAAACTTAAGAAAAAAACACATGTTAATTTCTTACATTTATTAATTAAATTCAAATTAATTTAATTGCTAATTTATGTAAATGGAATAAAATAGTGCACTATAAAACTCGTACTCCGCTACTAATATTATAATTGCGGAAATAAGTTTGTATATAAAACCGTAGTAGTATATTGTCGGTCTGTTTATTACGTTTTCACGTAAAAACGAAGCAACAAATCTCCGTGATCTTGTGCGCAGGCTAGGCTACAGTTCACAGCGGAAAAATACTTTTTTGTTACAAAATAAAACCTTACACGCAGAGAAAACAAAAGCGTATACTGGCGGAGGTGCAGGCAACTGCTAGTTTATAATAATTCAGTTTCATCTATCAAAAAATAATCCTAATAACTTAAATTTTTATAAAATTTTTACTTCATAGCTACTTTTATAAATTATATAAATAAATATATGTCTTTATATTATAAGGTAATATAATGTAAGCAAATAGGTACTATCAGTGTATGTTGATTATTCCATTCATGAAATGCCAAAATTAAAAGTCACCAACTGCTTATATGAGATCCACTATCGTTGACCCCCATTTTCATTTCATGGACCCCCAATTTTTTTTTCACTTGACATGAACCCCTTGCAGGTTGTCATTGATATAGACCACTGGGGATCACTAGTTTAAACAGTCTGAAATAGCTCCACAGTGTTATCTGGAAATCGTAGATTAAGAGCTACATTTAGAAGAACTATTATAGTTGTGCACGCTACATGTCTTAAAGGTTCTTTTGCCTAGGCGGATCTGGTGTATATATCAGCACCCTTTCTTGATTTTAATATGGGTTTCTTTTAAAACCAGCGCAAAATTATGAAACTCATATAATTAGACTCTTACATTATTTCTAACGTTCTCCTTTCCCTGTAAACACCTTTGTCTTCAACATTAGAAAGATAACTACTTTTCGAAGACATAGAGGCAGCATCATCCAACCTCATCACTGGATCATCATGCAAAGATCAGTTGACCAATACATTAGGCAAGTTGCAATAAGAAGTTGTTGAGTTTGCTCGGAGCTAGAGGCTGAGCGGGGGTGACAGAAACAAAGAATTGAACACAAAAAGTGTCTCACGAAACAATATGAATCTATCATCTGTCGGATCAGAAAGCTATGACCACAACCTTGCGAACAGTAATGATTATATCAATTTAGCCATTACAAGTTTTGTGCTTGAACGAATTCAAGGCTCTTACATTAATGGATAAACTGATTGGTTAGTATATATTAAATATAAATATTGTTCATAAACATTTCTTTAAACTGTTTGATGAATACTACCTTTATCGGACTTGGTAAGTTTGAGAAATACGACTTAAATCATTAGTTCTTACCAAAGCATGTTTTTCCATCAATATCCAGTCGAAAACCTTTGTGGCAAGAACAATAATGACCTCCAGGAAAATTGTTGCAAATGTCACTGCAGCCACCATTATTACCATCAGCGCATTCGTCATTATCTGCCAAAACAAAATTTTAAAAAGAAAAAGAACGAGCAAATATAGAATGATGTATAACATAAAGTATTTTTAATTTTTTTCTTACGCTTCTGACTAATATTAAGTTTAAAAACTTACCATTTCGGAAGTTTATTAAAAAACTTTTAAAAAAATACTGAATAATAAAAAAAATTTAAAATTTAAAAAAATATTAAATTTTTAGGGAAAAAATTTATATAATAAGACTTTTCACTCAGGATTTGAATACAATTCGAGAATTGAAATTTGATAAATAGAGATAGTAATTTTTTCAAGAGCATGGGGAAAAAAAAGAACTGGCAAACATAGAAAGGTGTATAATATAGAGTATTTTTAATTTTCATCCTACGTTTCTAACTGATCTTGCGTATAAAAACTTACCATTTCGGAAGTTTAGAAGAAAACTTATTAGGGAGTAGTACATGATAAAAAAACTTAAAAGAATATAAAAACATTTACATTTCTAGATAAAAAGTTTTTATAATTAGACATTTCTCTGGATTTGAATGTTTGAGAATTGAATTTGATACATAGAAAGATAGCAATCTTTCAACCCATGGAATAGATTTTTTTAAAAACTCTGTTTTGCTACTTTTTTATTCTTTAAAGTGATATTTTTCATATTTTTGCACTTTTCATAGATATACATGCATTTTTGATATAAAAAAAAATTTGCTCTATTGATGATTAAACATGCCTGTACATACAAGAGTAATGTCAGTAAAATTTGCTTGAAAAAGCAAAACTTTTTGGGTTGATGCTTCTAAAACAAAATATACAAATTAACTTTTATTGAGGTAAAATACACCTTATTTTTTACTCTCACGGGAGTAAAATTTGTAATTGGAAATATTTCGAGTTATTAATTATTCCATTACACCATTCCTGAATGCAATATGATAGCGTTTGTTAGATAAACGCTAAAGGTAAAAGTTTTATAAAATTTTAGATAAAAATTTTAGTGATTGAAAGATTGATAATCGAATTATTAATCAAAAACTTATTGAAATTTAAAAAAAATAAGATTTAAGTAAAATATCAACAAATGTAGTGAAATAGATTAACCAATCATTTTTTTTGACATTTTTAATTTTATGGAATTATCAAATTAAGTATTTGAATTTTTGTAATTAAAAAATTAAAGAAAAAAGAAGGTAGAACACCATTTACTAACTATTCATAATTAGTTAAATAAATAATTTTCTAGACGACAAACAAGGATGTTAATTTTATGCAATCATAGGGATCGAAAAGCAAAGCGAGCAGGGATTAGAGAACTGTAGAGATTAATATATATGAAAAGCGAAAATTAAAAATTAATAATAAATTTTACTTATGCGCACCGATGCAAGAATAGTTATCTTCAGCTAATGTATATCCGTTTGAACATGAGCAGTAAAAACTTTTGATAGTATTATGGCAAAGCATCTCACAACCTCCATTTTTTATTTGGCATTCATCAACATCTGCAAAAATTGTATACAATAATTTAAATTAAAATGATATCAGTATATTATTTGGGTGAACTATATTTGAGGTTGCCCCTTCATTCTCGTCAAGTTGTGATCACGGTTGATCGCCAAGCTGGGCGATGTTGAAACCCAATCGTGATTCTGATTGCCTTAGATTTTAGCGTTATTTTCAAATGCTCAACGGTATATGTAACGTTAGGGGTCAATTATTTCTACGTTGGATACCGGCTGGTAAGGTTACTTTTGCTTCTGGTCAAAAAGATTGAAGGCATGTGGGCAGTCATAAAAAGGGGCTTCAGAAAAAAATGTCACCGCCAGTCCGGTACCACAGACGCCATTTTCGATTCGTATTTCGCCGAACTTATGTGGCGATGAAGGATACACAGATTTTATTCATGATAAATTTAGACAATATCTAACTGCTATTATAGAATTCTGTGCACCTAAATCTGAGGATATTCAAGCTAAATGAAGAAGTTAAATGTTTTTTTCCTTTTCTTTCTGTGCTTACTCCATCAATTTTTGTTTCGATTCAGAATGCATTTTATTGGGCTTATTAACTTTTCTTAAATTGGGTTCATTGCAATTTTATAAAGTTTTGGCCGATATTTTGTTGAAGTTTTGCAAAGTTTTATTGAAATATCATTATGTTTCGGCAGTCATTCCTGTTATCATGGTGTTCCGCGCAAGCAGGAATGGCGCAAAGCATAAGTCGCCAATTTCGCCAAGGGGCACCCTCAAGTATATTTTTACCCTTAATTAAGATCATGCTTATAAAATGGAAATAGAATTAAACTCTTATATCAAGAATGATTATAGTGGTAAATTATGATCTAAAAAATTTAAAATTATTAGGTGAACAGAGTGGAATCCATTACAAATTAAAACAATAATCCAAAATTTAGTCGTCCATGAAGATGACTTTTGACTGCTTTAACTCGTTTATGGATTTAACTAAATAAGTGAAACTTTTAAGACATGATCCTGAATTATATTATATTAAAATTTAATTAACTGTCTAATTTCAAAATATCTGATGTAGGGCAAAATTTTTTTAAAATCTGTATTTCACATATTTTAACTCAAATCATACAAATAATATTATTCAAAATCATATTAAGAAGGAAGGAAAACATTTAAGATTTCTAAATCCGAGGACCACTTTAATTTAGTCACCCATAATAAAATTCTTCAAATCGTTTAATTAATTCGTTATAAAATTCATTTCAAACTCATTATAATTCAAAACAATTAACAAAAGTCATTATTATTCAAATGATATTTAATAAAATTTAATAAATGTATTATGGTTGATAACAATTCACATAATTCATTAATATATTCATTCTCAGTATGATTATAATACTCTTACTATAATTATAAATAAAATAATTTTAATGAATTATAGAATTTATAATAATTTATGATAAAAATAATATTTATTTTAATTAATAGTAATTAAAATACACTATAATTCTTAATAATTTCCTATACTTATTAGAATTTAATTAATAATTAGTTCAATATTATAATAATAAACTTAATTTTTTTTCAGTTTTACAAATATTTGAATTTTTTTAGTACCATATAATTTTTTATTTATTTTTTAAAAACTACTTCTAGAAGAATAGGAGAAAGATGAAAAAGAAAAAATGGAAATTGATGTAAAGATTGAATCACCAACACATGTCTTATTGTCATCTTTCAGTTCGACTCCAGGAAGACAAGAACAGAGCGCTGAACCAGGTGTGTTTGTACAAATATGTGAGCAACCAAAATTATTTTTAAGGCATTCATTTATGTCTGGAAGAATTAAAAAAAACAAACTTTTCATTAGTATATTAGTTATATTAATGGATATATCAATAGACATATTAATTTACATATTAATATATTGCGGCTGGTGAATCTTCAATTTGATTAAAAATTTCACTAAAAATTTAAAATTGATTTTCTTATTACGCTTTTTTATTTATTTCATTTATTAGTTTATTTTTTTAATCTGCTAATTTAATTGGATTGACATTTTAAGAATTAAAAAATGAATTAAAAAGAGAATTTATGAATACAAAAATGATAACGGAAATTAAAATTAAAAATTAAAACTAAAAAACTGTAAGAAAATAAAATCTGGCTAAGTATAACAAGTATGTTTAATCTCCTGTCACTCGATTTATATTTGAATGATTTTCAGTGAAAAAAACCTTTAACAATAACTAAAAGGTTAAATTCATATTATTCTCAGTTTTTCAGTGAAATAAAACATTTAAGTAATTATAAACTATATCAAATTTGATAATAATTTTAAACTGATTTTGATGAATAAAGAAATATATAAATTTAACGTAAATTAAAATTACTTTAACATTTAAAATTAGCATTTTGAAATTAATGCTTCCCCTCAAAAATTGATGCCAATCATTGTCAATCAAAATTTAAAGTAAAACCCTCACCGAAAAGGTTAAGCATAGGAAAATAAATTTTGCATTCTTTGTATTCTTTCGCATTCCTTCGTACTCGTTGTTAGAAATTCATTTAAATTATAATATAAGTTTAACACCATTGAGTAGCTAGTGATTGGAGTTTCGAAAAAGGACTTTTGTATATTTTTTTTATATCAAAAATTGTAAAATTTAATTCATTAATTATTAAGGAATGAATATTAGAAAATGGGGAAAAACTGACGTTTCCAGAACATCTTCCTCAAAAGAATTTTCTTATTTTGTTAACCTTGAAATATTAATTTTTAAAAATCACATCAAGGCATTTTTTAGAAAAAAAAACTGAATCAACAGAATATTCTGTCAGTTGAAAATAAAATTTAAAAGTACAATATTTCTCGAAGAATATTTAAAAGTTTATTTAGCTAGTTATTTAAGTTAAAATATTTTATTTACAAGCAGTACTTAAAATTAAACCCTGACTTAAAGAATATTATTATACATACCACTACAGGGTATGTCATGAGATGGAGATCCAATAAATCCTGGAGGACAACGGCAATCTGCGATGAATGATTTTGCATTTGAGTCAGTCACTAAGTGGGTGAATATTTTTAAGACGTAATCCTGAAATATAATAAATTAAAATTTAATCAACTGTCTGATTTTAAAATATATGGCACAGGGCAAGAGTTTTTTTTTTATATCTATAATTCACGAATTTTAACTGAAATCATGCTAAAACTCTTTTTTTTTTTAAAGTCACTTTAGGAAGCAACATATAAATTCTTCATTAAAGAGCCATGGTGGCTCAGGGGATAAAGAGCGAATCTCTCAATAATGTGACCCGGGTTCGAATCCCTGGTCAATTCGAATTCCGTCCCAGGCTCACACCGATCGTAAAATATCCTCTGTGGTAGAAGAATCATGGGTTAGAGTTCCTTTGCCGTTAGGCTAATCGTGGGAGGTTTCCGTGGTTTTCCTCTCCCTGCAATGCAAATACGAGTTAAATCCGCCAAGAAGACGACGGCAAATTTCTTCCGATACTTAATCAAGAAAATTGGCTTCTGGATCTGGTTCAAAATTACAAGGCTGCGGAACTGAACATTGGTAGCAGTAAACTCAAAATTGGGTCGGCTGTTCAACGACGGTTATGAAATAAGTAAATAAAAAGTTCTTCATTTAAGAACGTTCATTTTAAGATTAGTCACCAATAATGACTATTTTATTTCCTTAAGTCATAAGAATCTAAACAAAATATGAATTATACTGCCTGGGAGCAAATAATTTATGTACACATACCTCAAGCTTAATTAATCAAAATGATTAAAATGTTTAAATGTTGGATTGCACATAAAGTCAAACAAACTTGCATAATGTTATATTAGGGTCTATTTAAATACAACAATTAATAGATTTAATAATTATTCAGCAAAAAAATAGTAAATTTTAGAAAATACGAAGCCTTTTTTTTACAATGAGATGCAATACTAAATGCAATACCAATGCATTACTGTATGAAATTTCAATTTTGAAACTATTTTAATTATGCAAACCACACAAAATAAATGATTACTGAAAAGAATCTAACAATAACTATAAAAGAGATATTTCATTCTTGGAGGTAAAATTTCCAAATTAAGCTTAAAATTTCAAAATTATTAAATTTATGTATGCATCTTATTATAAAAAAATTAATTAAAATACGCATAAAAATTTTACTAAATAGATATAAAATTGAATACTCATAATACTATTATAAGATTTCTCTTANTTGATGGAACTAAATGAAAACGTGATAAATTAATGTGCGATATTTGCAGGCTCCCGCTAGACGGCGTACTCGAGCGTTGCGATCGCGAATACTATTATGAGATTTCTCTTCACTATTATGCTGTTATAAATTTCGCAACAAGGTACCAAGGTACACACACGTGGACATGCATGTTCTTGACTGTATTATATTTAAATATTAAGTAAATATAAATTTGAAAGCTTCAAACAGATCACAGAACCACTAAAAGCTTTTTAAAAAAAAAAAAAACTTTTGAATAACTAAATTATATGATATTTAAAATTAGTTGCATTTTCGTGCACGTGGATTTAGCATCAATTTTCAAAAATCAATTCTGTTTGTTTATGTGGAATTCTACCCAAAATAACTTACATGCTTAGCCTCTATTGTGGAATATCCAAAGCTTAAATGTGCACAAATGTTTCAGTAATGGTAAAATTAAAAATTTTCTTATAGCGTATTTTTAGAAGCTAAGGTCAACATATGTGGGCCGAGGTGATGAAGATATTAACATTCTTATTACAATTATAATAAAATAATTATTTTGAATTATAGAATTTATGATAACTCATAGCAAAAATAATGCTTATTATAGTTAATAAAATTTAAAAGACAAACTGAAATTCTTGAAAATTTCAAAAACTTATTAGAATTTATTTAATAAGTAGATTAATACTATATTAACAAACTTAATTATTTTTTTCGGTTTTAGAAATATTTTAATTGTTTTGCACTATATAATTTTTATTGAAATTCTTAAAGCTATCTAGAATATAAAGAAGGAAAGAAAGAAAAGAAAATAATAGAAAAGAAGGGATGGAAATTGATTTCAAGATTGAAAATCACTAACACATGTCTTATTGTCATCTTTCAGTTCAAATCCTGGAGGACAGGAACAGACCGCAGAACCAAGTGACTTCATATCTGGAAAATAAAAGAAATAAAAACAATTCAATAGTATATATATCTATGCAATAGCTGGTCAACACTTCGAAATATTCCTGTTATAGAGCAAAAAATAGCGAAAAACTAGCGACCTTATCTAGATCATGTCCTCTGAAATCAGAAATACTCATTTCATATGTGATGCCGTAAACTGTGAAATCTCGACCTTAAAGGGGTTAAAGGCTGTCTTTATGGAACATCTGGTATAGACCATCAAGAAGTCCTCCACGAAAGCAAATTTCGCCCTATACTTGATCTTGTAGTTTCCTTGTCTTTTGGATTGGGTTCAAAATTACAAGATAGTGGAGTTGAGCTGTTGATAGTCGTAAACTCAGAATTGGATCGGCTCTTCAACGCTAGTTATAAATATTTCTAGTACTAGCAGCATTTCTAGTATTAGTATTAGTAGTCGTAGTAGTAGTAGTTGTAAACCCAAGGTTGGGTCGACAATTCATCTACGGTTATAAACTAAAGTACTGTGGTAAAAAATATTTTTATTGTCACCTAAAATTTGCCAACTTTTTTTGTAAGTGGTGCACCCAGCAGTTTTAGTTTAAGCATGTCAGAAACAGAAGTTACTTTCTACTCCTCAATTCAAAAAGGCAGTTTTTTTAATCAACTCTTTACATTGTTTCTTTCATTATAAAAACTACTTCGCACACAAATATACTCAAACCTTATATATATGATAAAAATAAATAGAATTTTACCATCTTCCATTTTACCAGTTTTGCATCTTCCGTCTTGTAAGCGCCTATATCCTTCTTTACAGGAACAAACAGGAAAACCACTGGATGAGTTGCATATTTGTTCGCAGCCTCCATTATTAATATCACAAGTTTTAAGACGGTAGTAAAATGAAGGAGTAGGTTTATTGGCTTTGATTTCTGAAATAAACAAAATTTATTTTTGTTATTGTAATGAGATCAGTGGATCGAAGAAGGACATGCCTATTAGAACATTATACAGAGAGTTACACAGTTGGAGCATACACTGGGACAGGAGAAATGGAAAACATCAGAGAAACAGAGTTACTTGTACTTACTCGTATAGCCTTCTTGGGCTAAAACTTAAAAGTCCAAAGAACATTCTGATATCATACGGACGTAGAAGAAAGCTGCTTCAAATAAGTGCGATTAGAGTTTTTCCTCAACAATTTTAAAACGATTTTTTTTTTTGGAATCTTACGCAAATAAAATATATAACAATTAAAATTGTTCTGTGCATGTATATTAATCGAACAAAAAAATTTAGTCTTACGCGAAATAGCCGCTATTACGATCAGCTATTGTAATGCTCAGTTTGTTTTTTACAGTATTTAAATAAATACGATATGCAGTTTACAGGGTTTTTAAGTTAAATCGCAGTTGTAACAATTGAGGATGTCGATGAGCGAAGCGAAATGTGGGTAATGTCTCCTTCTATAACATATTAACAAGTATAAATATTAATTTTTGTAAAATATTTCTAGGAGAGGGGCCAAATCATATAGCTTGGCTGGGTTAAGACCTACCTGCCCCCTTTTTCGCGTCAGATTTATTGCACGTTTTTAAGCCTTAAGTTCCTAAGATGTAAATTTTTTCCTTTAGTTTTGACATGGATTCTAAAAAAAATCAAAACAGTCTGCATTCAAAATTTTTAAAGGTAAAATATCAGTTCGGTGAAAAAATACCTGACCACAACGCTCACTATAACAAATAAACAATTTACAGTCTCCGACTTCATGACTCACCCACCTAATCAATTCAAACGTATTATATTACAGTAAAAGCCGTTATTACAGCAATTCATAATAACACATAAAACTGTCGCTAAAGCGAGTTTGTCGTTATAAGCAAATATAAATATTTAATGTTAATGTCTAAAAATGATACAAATTACGATATGGAATTTTTAAAGAGCGTGAATACAAATTGCGACATTAGATTTTAAACTTGCGTGAATACGAATCACGCTGTTGGATTTTTAAATAGCGTGAATAGAAATCGCGAAGTACGATTTTTAATTTGATTAAATACGAATCGAGCTATTGGATTTTTAAATAGCGTGAATAGGAATCACTATGTACGATTTTTAAATTGAGTGAATACGAATCATAACGCCAAACTTTTTAATCAAGTAAATACAAAAATTAATGTTTGATATTCAAGTCTCATGAATAATAATCAGGATATTCCGGTGCAGTTCCAAATATTCAAAAAGGCGAAAATTAACCAAAAACAAAATAATCAAATTGGTGGAAGAATCACATGTTCATGTATGTAAACGTATTGTTAACAGGATTCGGCAATAATTTGAAATTTTCGTCGGATTAAAAGATGTTGACTCGCGAAAGTCCGCAAACCATTGATCTTGAGATACGATACTGATTCTAATTTTCAGACACGGAAGAATTAAAGGAAAAAATCCGGAATTTCAGGGTACACCCGGAATACAATTACCTCTCCCAGGTGAGTAGTTTTTAACTAATGTCTTGAAAATGAGTTATAATGGCGGACTTTTCGCAATAAGCCGTACGTAATATTGAAGTTTTTTACTGCAGTTTTTTTATTAACGTATTAACACCATATATCTTACCAAAGTGAAGAAAATAAATGTATTTTTACCCTGGCATTTTCCCCCTGTCTCAAGTCTAAATCCATTGCTACACGAACAGACAGGAAAACCACTAGATGAGTTGCATATTTGTTCACAGCCGCCATTATTAATATCACAAGTCTTTTCTCGTCTTCGATTGTAACGTGAGTAGTCAAATGCAGTATCAGGGTTATTGGCCTTGGTTGCTGAAAAAAACGAACAATATTTTTTAATCTTTTTTGTTAATGAACATATAATAATATATAAAATCTAAGGCATGCGATGAACGAAGTATTTTTTCTCTTTAGTTCTCTATATCCAACAGAAAACATTAAGGCTTGAGTTCAGCTATTCCAAGGTTTAGTTTGATCATTCTACTCACTTACAAATTTTTCATACTAATGTTGCATTCCATCAGAGAGCAAACTGTGATTGTATAATAAGATCATAGTGTTATTTATAAGCATCAAAACAAGATTTTTGTGTATCGCTTATGACTCCAAAAATGTTAATAGTAGAGATATAGCACGCTCCCCACATTGAGGGGAACCGGATTTGAATCCCAGCGATGGCTGGGAGATACGAATTTCGCACATGGCTCGCACCGACCACAGTGCTGACGTAGAAATATCCTCAGTGGTAGGCGGATCATGGGTTAGAGTCCCCTTGCCTTCAGCCCAACCTTGGGAGGTTTTCGTTTTTTTGCCCTCCATGTAACGCAAATGTGGGTTAGTTTCATTAGAAATTCCTCCACGAAGACAAATTTCCTGCGATACTTGATCCAGTTCAGGATTTTCTTCTTCTGGATTGGGTTCAGAATTACAAGGCTACGGAGTTGAACATTAGTGGTAGTTAACCCTAAATTGGGTCGAATCGTTAAAATTGAAACAGCAGACTTAACCATTTAAAAGATAGCATGATTACAGTTTGCTAACTAACTGCTCTACTTAATTAAATTAGCGGTTTTATTTAAAGTTTATTGTATGTTCTTCAATAGTTTATCTTTGCTTTTCACGTCATGTAAGCACAAGGAAAAACCACCGTTGTAGAGCTTGCGGGGTGACGTCATCAAATTGGTACTCTTTAAACAGTTAAAACCACGTGTTTGTTTATTTTTCGACTTCTGTAAGGGGTTTCTATGAACTTGAACTGCTTAAAAATATTTTAGTAATTGAAATTTAAAAAAAAAAATTTAGTCGTTTATTATACAGTTGTTTGCTATAGTAAGTGCCAACTTTATCTTAAAAATTGTCTGATTGGGATAAAACTTAACTACTTTGTGTTAGCGCAGAAATCCAAAGCGTCATTATCATCATCCAGCAATGGTCAAGTACCCATCCCCATTTTTAGGGTTCAATATTTTAAGGGTCATGGTAAAAATGCCCCATAGTTTTGATCCTTGTTGGACGTGAACAGCGCCTTAACTCTGTTACCTACCCTTTTCTCCACCTTCCACACCACAACAACCACCACAGAGAACTTTATATATATACTTGTATATACATATATATATATATATATATATATATAGTAGTATA